ATAAACATAACTTACTGCAAATCCCAAAATAGTTCAAACCTGAATTTTAACGTTAATTTAATATCTTAGAAATCCAGCCAATCCATCTATCACGATTACACCACCATTTCATCTATCGTGGTTACACCGCCATTTCATCTATCACGGTTACATCAACATTTTATCTAATAATAGTCAACTAGGTTAGCACTTAAATATTAAAGAGATTATTGCACCACATTGTCCTATCCGGACAATACTATGTTCGGAGATGAGGTAACCGGACAATACTTTAATCTTATCTGGACAACACTCTATCTGGTGAAGAGTTATCGGACAACCTTATGTCTTGTCTGGACAACACTATGTTCGGTGAAGGGTTATTGGGAAACACTTGGTATCCGAACAACCTTGATCGATGAGGGGTCCTATCCGGACAAACCTTGATTGGTGAGGGGTTCTATCCGGACAAGCCTTGATCAGTGAGGGGTTCTATCCGTACAAGATTTGATCGATGAGGAGTCCTATCTGGACAATACATATTCGATGAAGGGTCGCTGACCTTGTGTGTGATGAAGTGGCCTCATCGGTCATTGCTTATCCGATGAGGGACCTCATTGGACAATCCTTGTTCGATGAGAGTTCTTCTTGGGAGGTTTAATGGGCGATGAAGCAAACAATAGCAGTAATACAATTGAAATCCCATCCAAACAACATATGCTAGAATTTTATCAAAATATACGATGAAGAGACAACAACCAGATATATACAAAGCAGTAGGGAACTCACCTTTGCTTTAAAACATAGCTTTGAAATCTTCTTCTGCTTTTATGATCTTCCAGTTTTACCCAGATAAATATGAAAAGAGAGGAAAATGTGTAAACCTTTTCCTGCCCACACATACTTACTATTTATAGTAAGTACTTTCCAACTTACCTGATTGGGGGGTGCCTACCATGCATCCTCCCTTCCAAATATTATATTTACACACACACATACTTATATATATATATATATATAACTATATTATTTATAAATAAGAAAAGAAAAGAACCATAAACTGATTCCTCTATAACCCTTAAATGCCAAAAACTAACCCCGAACTTTCCATTACCAAACTACTTTAATACCTTATCAACTATATTTGAAAACCGAATATTACATCATGGCAAACTACAAAGTTGTAGTAGACTCATAGATACTTCCAACGATGTATTGTTGCCTTATTTGGACTTACGGTTGATTTTATACACATTTTTAAACATTCTGGAGTTCTTGCTTCCCCTACATAGTTTCAGTTTCAAGCTTTTCGGGCATTTTGAGTCCATTAGTTGTATGACAACTCTACCATAGGACTTGGAATCTATTCCAAACCAACTTATGAACATCTTGGAGCATAAACATCAAGTTTTCCAATATCTAATCATACTAGTTACTACATCTCGTTTCAAGGTTCTATAAACTCATAAGAACACATTTAGATTAACCAAAAACTTGACCAAAATCTTAAAACTCTTAAAAATCATAGTTACCATATCTTAGAATGTCACTTTATCTTCAATGTTTGTCTACAATTCATCAAAAGAACCTCCAAATTTCAATTGCGTGTAGCGAATTCTGGGTTCAACTCTAGGGTTTGTAGAGAGAGATTAGAAAGAAAGCTAGGAAGAGTGAGAGTAAAAGGGTGAAATTATGGAAAAATAAAGCAATATTGGGTTTATATATTTACTAAATGTATTCCATTCTAAAGATCAAAATTTGGTTTGCCCTTGGATGACATTTTCACTACATTTCGAGTCAACTTACATTATCCAACTTTGACCCTTGTTCTACTATAGTCACTACATTACAAGGACAAGATATTACTCAAAAAGCTTGAGGTACCATTTTTCTATCGACAAATATAACAAACATTTAATATCTATATTATATTATAAAGTATTTGATAGAAACTCTTAAAAACTATTTTTTATGCATGAAGTACTACATGTTAATGTATATTACTTAAAATTTAAAATTACAAATAAATTATGCATAAGTACAACTTATTAAAGCTCCATATTTAAATTTGTATAACTAACTGCAGATAAACATAATCAAATAGAGGATAAACACCTCATTTTAAAATATAAAAAATCTAAAATATAATTAGGATAATTATCGAGTTCTAACAAAATAATTAATTATTATTTTTTTATAAGAAAATAATATTATTAAACCAAATATAAATTACTTTGTTATTGAACCTAAATTAAATTATAATAAAAAAATTGAGTTAAAAAATTACACAAAAAATATGAATTTTAAATAGTTAATTTGATACTAATATCGATATATTTTTGTCAAATTTTTATAATATCTTCAAATTTATATTTTATTCAAAAATAAAAACATCATCGTTTTTTTAAAATCACATAAGACCATATTATAACATCGATTGAGATAAATAGTATTAAAATCAAAATGTATATCGCTGTATTGCGCGAGTACTCTTCTAGCATAGACTAAGTGAGGAAGGATCATGCGAGAAGTTAAACATTTTACAAGAAGGTAAAAAGTTTCAATATGATTATATTACCTTGAGTGATAGTTCATCAAAAACATAGTGTAGGAAAATCCCTTTTCCACACTCTTTATGGATGGATTATTTTCCGAATGCATTAGTCTCGGGTTTTACATATACTAGAACAAAATCAGGTATATAGAATGTAAAAAAAAAACCTCTTAGTATTCTTAATTCACTATATTATAGGACTTAGATTTGGAGCACCAACAATGCGTGTTTCCAATATAAAAGTGTTAAGATGAGTTTATTGAACGTTTTTTGATCTTAACAAATTTTCTAAAACAATTTTGAAATAAAGCGTCAAATTAAAATTTTAACATTATTTGAAGAAGATCTAAAAAAACTAAAATTTTAACATAGAATCCACATGTTTAGTCTTTACTACAAAATAAAGGGGTTTTACTAACAGATTTTTCCATCAATAATTTTGATAGATTTGTTGGGAATCACTAGTGAATTGACCATAAACGGTGGATTATTGACAGATTTTTCTGTCGTTGATGGCCAATCCGTCGAGAATTGACGATCACTAACCATATTTTCTCCAGCCGTATGATCCACTAGTGATGGATTTTTGCGACGAATTACTGATTTTTCCGAAGACAACGTCTCTTTATTTCTATGGTGTTTTATTCTCTTGATTTTGTGACCCTTGAATGGATTTATATTGATGGTCTTATGTGATCAATTAATTAACATTCACGATGATGCAATGAGTTGAATGTGCAAATAGCGTTGAATGACGGTTCATCAAAAATATAGTGAGGGAAAATCCCTCTTCCAAACTCTCATTGATAGATTATGCATTGAATGCGTTAGTTTCAGATTTTACATATACGACTATAAAATTAGGTTTATAGAGCGTAAAAAATTTCTAAATACATTATTTTATTGGAATTAGATTTACAGCACCAATCACATGTGTTTCCGATATAAAAGAGTTATTATAAGTTTATTAGACTTTTTTGGACGTCTTAACAAATTTTTTAAAACAATTTTCAAATAAAATGTCCTATTAAATTTTTATATAGAATTTTTTGCAAATTATCTAATAAAAACAAGTTTTCTATAAATAAAAAAAAAAGGACGTACTCATAAGGCACTTCTCAAAAGTATCATTTGAAAAAACTAATTAATTGGACATTATATTAAAAAAGGTGTACTTCAAAACTTGTTAAAACACCAAAAAATATCATATAAACTTTTTGTTACAACTTTATATAAGACGTACAATTATTTGTACCAATGAATTTAATTCTTATAAAACAGTCTACTATAACTTAAACAACTTCAGAGTCCTATAAACCTGATTTTATTATAGTGATAATAATAAAATACATTGGCATTAGATTGTTTTCTATTATCAATCCAATACTATAATGTCTTCAATGGTAAGGATGATGGTGAAACTACTTTGAAAATTCATATCCAAGAGAGAATCATGTGACACTACAAGAAAATTGGGTTTATAGGACGCTTAACTTATTAAAGTGGCCTAATAGCATACTTTATATGACATAAGCTTATAGAGCCAAACTCCACATTATTGTTCTATTGAGAGTGTTACAATAGTTTTATAGGAGTTTTAAGGAATGTTTTTGGACACTTTTAAAAATAAAGTGTTGCATTAGCTATTTTGTATAAAAATGTCATGTAAACTCATCTTTTTATAAACACTTTTTCAAATAGTCTTGCGTAAAATAACTAATACGACACTTTATTTTAAGCGCTCTTAGAAACTTGTTAAAACGTCAAAAATATGTTTTATAAGCTTATTGCAACACTTGTACATACAACACTTTTTTTGTAGTTCTATAAACTTAAGTCCTATAAAGTATTCTATTGAAACGCTTAATCATTTTCCACTTCCTAACTATAAACCTAACGTTGTCGTATTCTTCCCTCATCAACAGATTTCCAAAAAAATAAAAATAAAGGACAGATAAAACCTAGAGAGATCAAGATGGACCAACTCCCAAGTGACATGCAGTTGTGCTATTTCGTGATAAAATTCAGTTCAAGATTTATATCAAATCCCATTTCGCAATATGTGTTAGAAACTTATTAGAACATCAAATCTCGTGCAAACAAAGGAGTTAACAACAACACACATGAAAAAAGACGTACTTAATCCCATGGGCATCATCGATGATCGAAACAAACATGAAAACACCGTCACAAATGTCACACACCAAGTATATCATCCACCAGACCTTTATTCCACACAAGTAATGCAATATACTACCATAGCAATCATCATCATCATCATCTGTGTTCCCATTCCCAATATCACCTGATGATCAAAATCATTTCGTTAAAAGAAGACAAAATGTCATCAAGATTCAAGAGCTGACCAAAGGTTCATTGGTACAATGTTATCCAGGGTACATAAAAGTATCATAAATATGAAAAAGAAAGATTCAAAAACTCGTAATTTAGTTAGATATGCATATGCCTACCCAAGGTGAAGAGAATGCTTCTGAGGAATGGAGTATGCAGATGGAGCATCCTCCATAGGCTCCATTATATTCAGTTGAAGTGCATTCCTAGCCAAGTACGCCTGTAACGCGTTATACTCATGTCCCGTGTTCACATTTAGCTGTTGTACCCTCTCGCTCTCTGCAATCTGCACTCATAAAAGATGCACACGATACTCACCCAATAGGTTAGCCTTAGTTTACCACATTTATAAACCTAAAAACCATACATACATATATATATATATATATATATACACACACACACAAACGTAGGGGGACTTTCTTTTGAGAATCCATGAAATTGTGATAACCTTGAAAACTTGTGCATTATGTGTTATTTCATATTATCTTTTTTCATATAAGACTAGGATATAGTATATTGATTAACATATATTGTTTCACATGTGCTCGGTTCACAATGTGAACCTTTTTGACGTATTTGTGAAACATAAAATACACATAAAAAAGTTTCACGTTGTGAAAAAAATACATATAAAACAAATACAGTGTGAAACAAATATATGTTAAACAATACATTATATAGTATGTCTAGATAGAAAAAAATAACATATGATGCACAAATTCTCAAGGTTATCACAATTTAATGAGTTCTCAAATGATAAGCCCCCAGATTATATATATATATATATATATATATGGACAGGTTTTAAACGAGAACACTAACTATTTAAGAAAACAAGAAAAAGATCGTTAAGACATAAAACCAAATATGATTCACGTACAAAATCATACATGATTCACGTACAAAATCATACATGATTCACATATATAGATATATATTCAGGTACAAAATCATACAGGTTCAAAAGTCGTCCGCATCCATTTTTTTGATGTTAATGTAAAATCGCATGTGATTTTGTACATGAATGATTTTTTTTCTTTTTTTCTTAAATAGTTAGTGTTCTCGTTTGAATCTCCCCCCCTCTATGTATATATATATATATATATAGAGAGAGAGAGAGAGAGAGAGGGGGGGGAGACGTTTCAAATGCAACTCATCACATGTGTACAACCAATGCAACCCAATCAATTGAGATATTTATGGAAATGATGAGAGTTCTTTATTATGATTTGAATATTTATGGAAGATAACTATGACTTATTAATTATGATCAATACTTTATATTAGAAAATAATCAAAACTTTTATGAAATCACATATTCATCAAATTAAATGGACGGTTGAAATTGAGTTGTATAAGTTGTACAAATATAAGGGTTTGCATAATAACTTATATATATATATATATATATATATAAATATATATGTTGGTTATTATACAACCCTTTACATTTGTACAACCAATACAACTCAATCTCAACCGTCCATTTAATTTGATGAATATGTGATTTCATAGAAGTTTTGATTATTTTCTAATATAAAATATTGATCATAATTAATTAACCATATTCATCTTCCATAAATATTCAAATCATAATAAATAAACTCTAATCATTTCTATAAATATCTCAATTAATTGGGTTGTATTGGTTTTACAAATAGACATGGTTGAATTTGAAATATACCATATATATATATATATATATATATATATATATATGTGGAAGGTTTCAAACGAAACTCCCCTATTCTACGAAAATATAAGAACACTTCTGGTACTCCAAATTAATTAACACATAATGGAAATTATAAAAAAATAAAAATTAGTATTATTCATGATTTTTTATTATCTTATATTTGTCCCTATCCTTTAAATGTTGTTAGTAAACTTATTATATCGATGTCTTCGTTGTCGATAATGACGTGATAATGTTATGATAAAGATATGATTTTCCAATGATAATAATGTGATAATACTTTATAAATTTAAGATTTTTTATGACATGATTTTATTGTGATAATGATATGATAATTATGTGGTTTTGTTGTGATAACGATGTAATAATCGAAAATCAGTGATGATCACGTCTACAATCATCACTTTGTTTGTTTATTATTTGATTTTGTTGTGATAATAATTTGATATGATTATATTATATGTACATGATTTTAGGGATAAGGAAGTCACCAAGATTACAGATAAATACGAACTCATATGATTATCCTTAATTATTTACTTTATTTTCTTTTAATTTTAGTTATGGGTTAAATAATTTGGAGACTTATAAAATGCTCTCGCATTTTCGTAAAGAAGTGTGATCTTATTTGAACCTCTATCTATACATACATACATACATACATACATACACACACACATATATATATATAGCCTACTTATAAGTAGCGTCTAGGAGGGATAAAATGTATGCAGACTTATTCCGTACATCGTATCCCCGTCCCAAAAGGATAGAGTGATTTGTGCAAAAGTGTGGGCAGAAAGATTTTAAGAACAAGATAGTGTGATTTGTGCAAAAGTCTGAGCAGAAAATATATTAAGAACAATATTGATATATAGTATAACAAAGGCTTTAAAGGACACCTAGGATGTTTGATGCTTGTGATAGAGTACTTTATAAAATTTAATGTTATTGCCAGACTATAAAACTTTCTATTTAAAAGGGTTACAATAAATTTATAGAATGATTTTAGACGTTTTAACAAGTTTTTTAGGACGCCTTTGAAATTAAGTGTCGTATTTCATGTATTTTATTTTGAGAAGTGTCCTATAAACCTTTTTTTTCAGAACACTTGTGTATAAGACACTTTTTTCAAATAGTGTCAAAATAGTTAATATGACAATTTATTTTATAAAGGTACTAAAAAACTTGTTGAAACACCTAAAAATGTCATATAAACTTATTGTAACACTTTTTTATCGGACCATTTTGGTCCTATAAACTTTTCTATGAAGTATTTTATTAAGATGCTTAGAAAGACGTCATATAAAACCAAATTTGCCCTACTATAAATACCCGGCTATAAAATCTACGCAAGGCTATTGATTTATGAAATTTCATGCAAAAAAATGCTTAATTATGGTAATTCTTACAAGGAACGATAACTTACTTGTACCTTTGAGCGTAGGAATGCATTGTGATGTTCCAGCTCGATTTCCTGTTATAATCAACAAGAAAACAAAAGAAATTCAAGTAGGAAATGGATCATTTGAGAAAGGAAAATGGTAAACACAATATACAGGTACCCTTTTCTGCAAGTTTTCAGTTTCAGCAAGTATCATGTCATGCTGCTCAAAGAAAAAAGAAAACACACCGGTAAGAAAATGAGATACAAATATATATATATATAGGGTATATTTCTTTTACAACCTTATGCATTTGTACAACCTTTGCAACCCAATTAATTGAGATATTTATAGAAATGATTGGAGTTCATTTATTATGATTTGATTATTTATGGAATATGAATAGAGTTTATTAATTATGATTAATACTTTATATTAGGAAACAATTAATTGATTAAAAATTGAATGGTTGAGATGAAGGTTGTATAGGGTGTAGGAATGGCAAATGGTGTAGAATAACATCCCTCTATATATATATATATATAAGACGGGTTTGGTTGATAACCTCATATATATATATATATATATATATATATATATATGTTAACAGAGGTTCGGTTGATAACCTCATTTCCATTGCGAACTAGCCATGTGTAGGGACATACATAACGAAAATGTTGTACAAAATTCACGGCCATTCAGGATGAATATGGACAGGTGGCGTGCTCTCAGAGGTTCCTGGTTGGCAATGGAAATGCAATTCTCAACCGAAATTTCCTCTATGCATATATATGTATTACAAACATCTCTGTGTATCTATACATTTATGATTCTTCTACCTTCTTGGACCTGATCCTTGAAATCCCTCTCTCAAGCCTGGTCTCCAACTGCTTCAGCTCCTTCACATTTAAACAGCCCAAGCCTTCACCCATGAGATGCCTGAAGTAAAACATAACAAAAGGGTAAAAGGAATCATCCTGTCATGTTTTTATCGATATCAAATATAATTGAATGCTTGTTTGGTAGGTTTTTCGTTAAGTTAATCCTCCATGGATAAAGTTGTTTGTAGATTGTCTATATTGATTGGAAATTGAAGGTTTTTATTTGGGTGAGTTTTTTTAATAAATGGAAGGAACGTGTTTTTTCTATTGGGAGGGACAAATTAAAAAAATTAAAAACTTGTCTTTATACATAAAGGTCCTCCTCGAAACTTACTGAATATGCCATTTTTTATACCATTAATTACGCTACTACCAAATATATATAGTTGATCAAATAAATTGTGAGTTCCATTAAATTGCTAATAAACAAGCTTCTGTTGATTATAAATGACACCCCATTCCAAAGTAATCAACAATTAACTCTTGCAAAAATAATTACTCAAGTTAGCATAAAGGTTGGTGAAGGGCTATTCTGAACTATCTGGATAAGCTCATTGTGGAATCATTGTATCTTAAACCTGATCTCTGTGATCATACTTTCAAGAGTCTGTACTTTCGTCATAACAACCTCTTGTGTCCTTGTTAGCTTTGTTTGTTGTGCCAAAATAATTTTGAGAACCTTGTTTTGGACAACAGCATTTTCACTCTGCCAGTTTAGAGTGGCTAACTTAACGAACCACGAAATCTTACATAGAGTAGGATATGAAAAAAAGGTAACATGTATGTATGTATACTTATCTCTACAATAAGTAGTGGAAAATGGTTTTCTATAGATCATGATGTAAACAAAGATCATTCGGATACTTATATACGTTTGCTGAAAATTGGGTGATCGTAGATCAATTCACCTGTTAGTATTTTGAAGCATTTGTATCTGCTGACGGAGTTTCTTCGACTCCTGTTGATAGAACTGTATTCACCAAAAATGAAGTCGATTATTGATCTTTAATGCAACATAATACCTATAATATTTAGTACACGTCATGATCGTTTGAATATTTCTTTTTTGTTGAGATGATATCGCCACCAAACACTTGACTGTGACTTGCTAATCGTAAAGCCAACTATCCCAACATGATCATGATGTATATCCCAATCTGAAGTAGAGTCTTGGAATGATAAAAATGTACACAAACATTTCCTCACTTTCAATTAGAAAGTTCGTTTTTATATTTGTGAACACCATCGACTTGAAAAATGTTTTGAAAAGGTCAGAAGATCTTGGAAAGTTATTAAAAAGCAAGAGCCATTGGAAAAAAAGAAAATGTCAGATCAGAGTTTGTACCAGAAAACAAGGTTGTTTACCAACACAAATTAGATAAGCATCGACCCGAGTAAGAACGTGGTCCAGGTAAAGGTGGGTAAGCGGAGGCTGAACACAGTTGTTTAGACCGAGTAAAAAATAACCTCTTCATTACTGGGTCAAGGTATTTATTTGGTAAGAGTGTATTGGTAAACTAGCTGAATGAATCAGCAGTCGGTAAGCAGCAGTATCATGCACAAAGGGCACTTCCTAACTACCTGTACAAAAGAAAAAGAAGAAATGAGAAGACCTCTTACTTGTGCATTAATTTCTTGAGATGACCAAGTGTTTGGTGTACTTGAAGTTGCCTTCTTGTATCTCTCAATAGTTGACTTTATGCTGCAAAACAAAGAGAAACAAAAACTAGTTATGAATGAAACTTTTATGCCTAAATTATTTGGTTTATAGATTTTGATAAAATTCCTTTCCGAGTTCGAAAAAGGTGGCTAGATGCCAATATTGCGGGTCATGGGTATCAGATCCCTCTTGTTTTTCATTTCGTTATGAAAATTTTGATCTACATTATGTTGGAAATTTGCTATGATTTAAATATGTTTATCTTTGCTTGTGGGCGTCATGAATGTACCTAGAGGCGAATTCGACAACATAGATCTGGCATTTTGTAAGGACTAGTAGTCGTTACCATATTAGTAGATGGGGTGCTCAATAGGGATCATTTTGGAGCTATATATCGATTGTTGTGTACTCTAATTGGTCAGTGTTGGTTTTAAATCTGGGTACCATTACCTCTCGTAATCTACTGATTTGTTACCATATCTGGTTCATATATCTATTTTGTTCTAGTGACATCCATCCTCGAGGTTCTTATGGATATAATTACTAATTAGAATGGAAATGATAAAAGAGTTGTTTATCACATAAGGCCATAAGGCAGTGACACCAGTGGTGTCCAATTCATATAGAGTAGGTTGCAAGGGACATCAAGGAGCAAATCGAACAACGGAAGCAAAGCAAACAGAAACGAACGTGGGTGCCAAGCGGCCCAACCCGCATCCAAACCGCCTAGGCGTTTGGATGGTTTCTCGCTCGGGCGGGTAGCCTGCTGACACCCTGCATGATGGACGTTTAGTCCACTGTTTTGGTCCTTCAGTGTCCTCGATTCTAAGGTTGGCATATGGGTGAACATGCACGCAACTAGCCTTTGCATGCATACACAACCGACCCATGATGATTCCTTTCCTTATCCTCACCGGCCAATGACTCTTTCCCTCATTCTTTCCTTTATTTTGATTATTCTTTTGCAGTCTAGTTTAATTACAATTGTTAGACAATAAATTTTTTCCTAGCTTAGATTATAAATAAGGTTTGATTTCTTCATAGTTAATCAAGTTTTTATCAATTAATATTATTCTTATCCTTGAGAGTTTTCAAGTTTTTCTTGAGTTTTACTACTCATAATTATCATCCTAAAGAGTTTAGATGGTTGTTGATCCTTCCGCAAATGTACATTGCGTCAGTTGGTAGCAGAGTAAGATTCGCCTGTCCTATTCACTAACTATGGCTATTACCACGTCTCTAGACAATCTGACGATGACTGTCCATCATTGCGTTGCTCGACTCGACAACAACCCTTGCCCGAGAAGAGAATGACGTGAAGGGTCGAATAGTGCTCCGCCAGTCAACTACCATAACTGGATCAACCTATCCAGTTCTGAATCTGAAAAGGAGGAATCATAACCGAACAACCCAAAAATAAATGACCACAATTACTAGATGAAAGCGGACATCCTTTTTTTTCTATGCAATTATGGGAGTAGAAGAATTTGTAGATTGACAAATTGAAGTAGATCGATACTTCAATGTCATGCAGATTCACGAGAGCAAACAGAAAAAGATGGTTGTTTTCCGTTTTAAAAGCACCACCACCGTTTGGTGGGATAAACTCGTAGTACAAAGACAGTGGCAACAAAAACGACCAGTGTCATCATGGAGAAGAAGGAAGAAGCTCATGTGAGAACATTTCCTATCGGAAGATTATGAGCAGATTCTATACAAGATGTACCTCAAGTGCAACTAAGGTACGACATCTGTAATTGATTACACCAGATAGTTCCTACTGTTATCCAAATGGAATGAAATCGAAGAATTGGAAGGTCCAACGGTTGCTCGTTATATCAACGTTTTAAAGTCAACAACCCAAGACCAAAATCGGACTATAAACCATGTGGACCGTCACAGAATCTTCAAGCTTGGCACTAAAACTGAAGTTAATGGAAAGATCTGTATGTACTTCAACTTATGTCGATAAAAGAAAAGGAGTCACAACTCCCTGAGACACCAACAACTCTTCACGAACCAACACCGGTGGTTATAGTAGTGAACCACAAGGAAAGACGACTCCTCCTAAACCCCCCAATCCATACGCCAAGACAATAGGTCTCAAGTTTTACCGATGCGGACAATCGGGTCATAGATCCAATGAATGTACTAACAGGAGGACGGTTGGGTTAGTAAAAGGCGATGAAAGAGGGGATGATGAAGATTATGATGGTGTCAAGTTTGCCAAAGAGGATTTCCAAGAGAAGATCAACATCGTACTCCTTTCATTCAAAGAAGAGGGTCAAAGGAAGAATCTTTTAGTCCCATTACTCCGTTCATAAAAAAAGTATGTAACCTCATCATTGATAATGGAAGTTGTGAAAACGTTGTGTCTTAAAAGTTGGTCGATCATCTTAACCTACCTACTCAACCCCATGAGATTCGTTATTCTATTGGATAGGACAAGAAAGGCTCGCAAGTTATAGTCACAGTCGGGTACCCACATCGATCATAAAGCATTATCAAGAGGAGGTCCTATGTGATGTCCTTGACATGGATGCATGTCACATCCTATTGGGCCAACCTTGGCAATTTGATCACAACATCACTTATAAGGGGCGATAAAATATCATGTTATTTCGTCAAGGTGACCGAAAGATCGCTATGCACCTATTAGTAGTTTTGAAAAAAATCTCCGACAAAAAAAGCGATAACTTTCTCATCATGACTACTAGCAAGCAAGAGATGGAAGAAGATGCAAAGAAAGTTGAAGTCTTTTACCCTATTGTCGTCAAAGGGTTAATGAGTGTAGAAAACGTCAAGACCGACTTCCAAAGGAAGTAAACGAGATGCTAGAAGATTTCAAAGAACTAGTTGTGAATGGCTTGCCTTCCGAACTACCACCCACGAGGGACATTCAACATCAAATTAATTTGATTCTGGAGCCAGCCTATAGAATTTTCCCTATTATTGGATGAGCCATAATGAGAAAGAGATCCTAAAAGGGAAAGTCGAAGACTTGCTACGGAAAGGCTTCATACGAGAAAGCATGAGTCCCTATGTCGTACCGTACTCTTAGTGCCAAAAAAGAACAATCAATAAAGGATGTGTATCGATAATAGAGCCATTAATGAGGTCACCATAAAGTATCGGTTCCCCATTCCATGATTGGAAGTCATGCTTGATGAGCTATTATGTTCCACCATATTCTCTAAGATCGATCTTAGAAGCAGCTATCATCATATTCGTATTCGACCAAGTAATGAATGGAAAACCGCGTTCAAGACATCATTCGGGCTTTACGAGTGGTTAGTCATATCATTCGGTACATCTAATGCACCAAGCACTTTCATGAGAACTATTAATCAGGTACTACACCTTTTCATTGGAACTTTTGTATTCGTTAACTTTTACGATATCTTCATCTATAGCCGAGAAAAAACCGAGCATCTCGATCGTCTTCGCCAAGTCTTAATGACCCTACAAGAGAACAAGCTTTATGTCAACTTAAAAAAGTGTACTTTCTACACCGACAATATTTTATTCCTTGATTTTATAATCGTAGAAAACAGTATCGAAGTGGATGAAGAAAAGGTAAAAGCCATTCGAGAATGGCTGACCCCTTAAACGGTCAACGATGTCTATAGTTTCCATGGTTTAGCCACCTTCTATCGGAGGTTTGTCTGGAATTTCAGTACCGTCACCGCTCAGATCACAGAATTCCTAAAAAAAGGTAAGTTCCAATGTGATGTACCGCAATCACAAGATTTTTGAAGAAACTTAGTACCGCACCCGTTCTAGCATTACCCGACTTCGAAAAGATTTTTGAAGTAGAATGTGATGTAAGTGGAGCACATATAACCAAGAGTTCTATGAGATGGTTCGAGCCTTACGACTTGGGAGCACTGCTTGGTTCAAAAGGGTCATTTGTCTTGTTTAATGACCATAAAGCTCTAAAAGTTCACCAATAGCCAGAAACGATCAACGAGATACACGCCTATACCAATCTCTGAAGACATATGGCAAGACCTTTCTATGGATTTCGTACTAGGCCTTCCCCGTACTTAAAGGGGGGTGTATTTGATATTTGTTGTAGTTGATCACTTCTCAAAAATGAGCCATTTTATCGCTTTCAAGAAGACTGCTGATGCAAGTAACGTCGCTAGACTTTTCTTCAAAGAAGTGGTACGTCTACGTGGTGTCCCAGAAACAATCAATTATGATCGAGACAACAAATTTCTCAGCCACTTTTGGATCATTCTTTGGCGAATGTTTGGGACGACTCTCAAGAAAAGTAGCACCACTCACCCCAAACCAACAGCTAAACAAAAGTCCCTAACCATTAACCAAACTTTGGGAAACATGCTTCAAAGCATGTGCGGTGACAATCCAAAGCAATGGGACGTGGACTTAGCACAAATCGAGTTCGCTTACAATAGTACCTTTCACACTGCCACCGGTTACTCTCTTTTTTCATTGGTCTATACTTTAACTCCGAGGCATGTGGTCGATTTGGTCAAACTACCTCGAGACCTCAGAATTTACATAGCAGCTGGAAATATCGCAAAGGAAATTCAAGCGACAAAAGAGGCTATCAAAGCTCAACTTGAGGCAACCAACTTAAAGAATAAAGCAACAGCTGACAAACACCGCGGGAAGAAGATCTTCCACGAAGGAAGCGAAGTGATGGTCTTTCCCCGAAAGGACCGATTCCTAGTCGATACTTACGGAAAGCTCCAACCAAAAAAATACGAACCGTTTAGAAGTGCAAAGAAGATTAACGACAATGCATAATTCGTCACCCTTCCCGACTCATTGCACGTCTCAAATACTTTCAACATCGCCGGCATCTACGATTACGATGAGGATGATGCATTTTCTTTAGAAGAGAACTCGAGGTCGAGTTCTTCTGAATTGGAGGAGACTGATATAGCAAAGGTTTCAAGGGACATCCAAGAGGAAATCTAACAATGGAAGTAAAGCTGGCGGTGACAAGCGGCCAACCCACGTCCAAACCGCCTAGTCGTCTGGATGTTTTCTTGCTCAGGCGGATACCATGC